CTCAAAAATGTCTTTCTTCTCCTGCTGATTTAATTTTTAAAAATCATCTAAATTGAACAATTACGTGAGAGCACTTTATAAATAACAAATTGGTACTCAAATTTCAATGCTCTAGACACAGCCTTAGTAGCTGCTTACCATCAAAGAAAGAAAAGTTCAGATTTGCCCGGCGTCAGCCTGGATCCTCTCCCGTGTCTCAGGGAGCTCTGGATCCCCTGGGGAGCCTGGCTCGGTGAGTGTGAATTTGCGACAAGCCCCTCCTTGGTCCTCTGGGCCCTGAGACCGGACCATGGCCAAGTCTGACCCAGGGAGGAAGGCTGGCTGGTTGGATTCATATGGAGATTCTCACCAGCCCACTGAGAAATGCCGACAGCCCAGGTCCCCCAGAGAGGCCCAGAGAGGGGCGCTGAGACAGGCACCCCAAGGCCGAGGCCCGGAAGCCGCGCCTCTGCCGCTGCGCCTCGAACCCTAGCCATCACCCCCGCCTGTGTGGCCACCGCACAGGTGAGTCCGCTCGGGCTTGTCTCCCAAGGACCGCCCTTGACAGGTGCTGCTGACCCACACAATAGCTGCACACAACCTCCTGGGGGTGGAGGTGAGGACGAACGCGCAGGAGAAAGCCCGGGAAGAGCGTGGTCTGTGTCGTCACCAGCACCGTGGGCTCCTGCCTGGACCACCGCGGGCACCCACAGCACACAGCTCCCGGCAGCCAGCCCTGGTTCTGTGCCTGAGCTGGGCCCGCCGGTGCCGGGCAGGCCACACAGGGTGGGCCGGGCAGGCGGCGGCTTCCGTGGGAATGGACCTGAACCCCCTGCTCCGCCGGCACTCTGCCCGCTCCTGTGTGAGCGCTCCCCGCCCTGGAATCCGCGCCTTGGAGCTCCGGGCCGCTAAATCCTCTCCTGGCCTGGAACACGCCCACCTGGGTACAAGTTCATGGGAAACGAAGCTAAAGGACGAGTTACTCTTGGTGCCAAAGAAGGTTTGAAATCCACCCACACGAGGCATCTTCACAAAGCTCACCCAAAAAGTGCACCGCGGAGAAAAAACTACGCATGCGCTTCGGACAGTTGTTTGCACCGAAATAAACTTCTCTTCGTTCCAGTTTCCCAGGGACCTAGCCGAGTGCCCTGGGCCTCCGAACGTGCTCTGGTGCACGGGCCGCACCGGCCGGTGCCGCCTGCCAGACCCGCCGCTCCCGCGTGCCCCAAAGCCTGCAAACCCTGGTGTCCTCTGATGCGGGCGGGGTTTCTCGTCCCCCCTTGGGAACCGGCCTGAGCTCCCGCAACAGCTGGCTTTGCCGCCAACTCGGCCGCCGCTTCCCGGCTGGGCCTGGCGCGCGCGGGCCACGCAGCGGCTCCGCGCACGCCCCGGGGTCGTTGCGGATGGCGAGGGCCACCACAGGCCCGCAGGGGCGTTCAGAGCCCCAGGCGGACGTCCCCAGGCCGCTGCCCGCTGGGTTTTGCACTCAGAACCGCTTCTCCCACCCCGTGGCGCCCCGAAGGCTGCCCAAGGCGGGCGGCGCCCATCTGAGGGGACCCCAGGGTGCTCGCGGGTCCCTCGGGGACTCTGTGGGACCGCCCGCCTCTACGCGTGTCCTGCGGTAGCGTCCCCAGTCTTTGCAGATAGGAACCAGACCTTGGCGGGCCCGTCGTCGGCGTCCTAGCCCGACCGCGGCTGGCCCAGGGCCTGGGCTCCCTGCCCCGCTCTGCGTGAAAGCGGTCTGCGGGGCGGGGCGGAGGCCCGGGTGCCTCCCTGCCTAGGAGCCAGCGGGTTTCCGCCGGGGCCGCGGCTCCTCCCCGGTCAGGGGCGCCTTCCTCCGGTCATTCCCCCACGCCCGAGCCCCCGCATGGCGTCTGCGGCGAGGCGAGCTCTCCTGGGGCCAGCCTGGGACTTCGCGGCTTCCTCCGCGCACTGCACTGCACTGCGTGGGCAAAACCCCGCGCCCCGCCGGACGACGCTCGAGGCCCGGACGCCGGCCTTTCCCGCAGGCGTCCTCCTCCCGCCCCCGGGCGGGCCCCGCGCCCCCCGCCCCGCCCCCGCTCCCACTTGTTGCGGGCCGGTCGGGGCCAGCTCGTTCCGCTCGCCGGTTGTGAAAGGGTTTGACTCGCGGCTGACCTCGGGTCAGGGCTTCTCCCCGCTAATCCTGCGCTCCTTAAACACGAGCCTTCGCCCGCGCCCTCGCACCCGCCATCCTAATCCTCCGCCCCCGCGGCTCGCACCCCGCCACGGACCGCCGACCCCGCGCCCCCTCCCGCCCGCGACTCGCGCTCACTCCCGGGGCTGCAGCAGGGCCCGCAGCGGCGCGGAGCGCAGGCCTCGGAGGGGGAGAGCGCTGGGCGGGCGCAGACAAAGAGGAGGCCGGGCGGTGCGGAGCGAGGGAAGCGGCTGGGAGGCGGCTTGGCGCCGGGGGCTGGGTCGAGGGAGAGCTGGGGAGAGGCCGCCGTGGCGCCGATCGGAGGGGCAGAGAGCGGGAGAGGCGCGCGGGTGAGACGCGGGGAGCCCCGGCAGGGCGCGGGCGGAGCGGGGAGCGCGCACTAGGAGGGCCGGGCCGCGGGCTTGCAGGGTCCCAGGGGCGGGCGGAGCAGGGTCCCGGCGGGCGCGCAGCCGGGAATGGGGACGGTGGGGAGAAGGGAGGGAGGGCGGGACAGGGAGCTCCGTGCCCCCCGTGGGGCCTCGCCCTGGGGCTGGGAGAGGCGGCCCGAGGCCTCTCGCTGAGCGAGCAAAGAGCGCCGGGGCGGGGAGAGGTCCCTGCGCCGCGACCCCCGGCCGGGCCTCCGCGCTCTGAGCCTGCCCCCGCCCCCGCCCCGCCGGCTGGCCGGGCCTCTCTCGCTACAGCCAAATGGCCGCGCTGGAGAACGCTGCGCGGAGACCCTGCGCGCTTTTCTCTTCGGTTCCCGCAGTGCTACCGAGGATTAAACCCTGCGGCTGCGGCTTGTGGCTGCGGAAGCCGGGAAAAGGGAGCGGAGCCTGGCCGCGCCGGGTCTCCTCTCCCGGGGCGCACGTCCCGGGACAGATCTCTCGAATTCACTAGTTTTCCCGAGACGGAAATGTGTGCGGTGCCCAGGCTTTGCGGGGGAAATGAAACTCCAGCACAGGCGCGCGCCTCCTCCCCAAAACGCACGACAGGGACACAGCGGGCCGCCCGGCTCGCTCCCGACACGAGCACCCGCGCGTTTTCCTAAAAAATATCCTTCAGGGCGTCCAGCCCCGGGGAGGGTCTCGGGCCCCATAAAGGGGCCAGTGAGATGAGAAAACAAGGCCGAACCAAAAACATAGCTCCCCAGGCAAGCTAGTCATCTCCCAGCCCACCGTGCCGCTGCCCGCTTCGGAGCCAGGCCCACGCGCGCCGCCGTGGGGTCGACCGGGAAACCACGCACGAAGTTTTGCGAACTTTGTCCCAGGCACCCAAAGGGTCCTGTCCGAGTTCTCTGCGCGAGTTTCAGGCAGAACTGGAGCCAGCGACAGAAGCCGGTACGGTGCGCGGTGAGCAGCCGGCGCCCGCGGCTGCGTTTTGGCTGGGCGCGGGGCGTGAGCGGTGCCTGGGAGCGCACCCCGCAGCGTGTTCCGCAGGCCTTTGAACCGCAGGGAGGCTGGTTCCCGAGCTGAAGCCCAGCTAACCACGACGCCCCCGCCGTTTTTGAACTGAGTCGTTGTTTTCCCAGTGGTTCTAACCTACAGAGCCAAAAAGAAACAGGCGGTTGGGAGCTGCAGGCACCAACGGTGCCGACGGCTGGAGGCCCACGTCCATCCTCCAGGGAACAAGGGACAGCCCTCCTGGTGCTGGGGCGGCCGGGGCTGGAGCGGGTCCTCCGACGACAGCCCAGACTTCAGTGCCAGGGTTCCTGCCGAGAGGGGAGCGCGTGTGGCCGCAGCAGTGCCACGCCTGCATTGGAACCCGGGGTTCCTGGTCGCCAGGGTCTGCGGGCGGCCTGGGACGCACCGCAGCCTTTCTCAACACCCTCCGGAGGGGCCCCGCGACCCGCTCCCACCAAACGCTCACCAAGACTCAAATCCATGAAAAGAAAAAACAAAACAAGCAAAAATAAAACTGAAAAAGAAAAAAGGGAGGGGTTTTATTATCTCTTAACAGCGGACACCTTTCTTGTTTTCTGCCATCACTTTAACGAATGAATAGTTTAAGCAAAATTATGAAAATGACTCCAAAAAATTACACATGTCAATTGTCAGATTAGCATTATTCTCCAAGCTATTCCCAGACGCGGGCTGCACGCGGGGCTGATAGCTGGGGCCGCTTGTGCGGGACTCTACCGCATGCCCACGCTTCCGTCTGGATCAAAGGGATTTTTTTTCCAAAAATATAATTCCATCTTAACGTTGTGATTAATTTCAAAACGTGTTTGCTACCGTATAACTTTTAAATGCAATATTTAATGCTGATTACTTGAAGACAAAGTTTTTTACAGGAAACTTTAAATTCCAGTAAAAAAAAAAACCTGAAATGTACCAGCAAAGACCTAGAAAAATATAATTAAACAATTGAAAGCGGCCAACCACCTCGACACCGAGCCGAGAGTAAGGGGCCCCGCGGGGGACAGCGGGGGTTGATTTGTGCGCGGGGGAAACACCGCGAAATTGCCGGACCTCTCTTGGGGAGGACGTGGGGGAAGCCGGGCTCTGCCGCGGCCCCTACCCTGGAACCAAACCCACAAGCAGTCTACTGAGAACCTTAACCACGCGGCCTCGGCCTGGTCCCAAGGCCGTGGGGCTCGCCCCTTCTTCCCTCAACCTCGGGACCACGCGGCTGCGGGGACGCGCTCCGGGCGCAGAACCCGCAGCCGGGAGCCGCCAATGCCGCAGGTGGAGGGCCGGGGCGGGAAGGAGCTTAATGACCACCTTGTCTCCGTGTGGACTCTGAACCTCCACGCGATGACCCACGGATTTGCGCCTTCCTCCCTCCCGGCGCGGGCCGACGGCTTGCCTCCCCCGTCCACAGCCAGCCGCTCTCGGCGCTCGCCAAACACGCACATAAGGTCAGCGCGTTTTCGATTCATGGGGTGAAACGGGCTTTCTCTCAAATTTATTGAATCAAAACTCGATGCACTTTTAGGGGGCGGGTTCCATTTCGGTTTTGGAAGAAAGGCTTTTTTTTTTTTTAGGAAACTATGTACATAATCTGATTTCTCCTCCCCACACAGCAACGCCTAACATAAAATAAAATAAAATTTAAAGAAACTCACAACGCATGGACAAGAAATGGTACAAAACCAAAAACTGGCTATGCGCAGATACAGAAAGTGGTACAAAACCCAGAGTGGCGCCGCCGTCCGAGGAGGGGGTGGGTGGGCAAAATCTGTGTATAAATTAACAAACCGGCCCGAGAGCGCTGGGGCGACGACAGGACCGCGTCAGGCCCGGCTCGGCCTGGCTCCGCGGCCCCGGAGGGGACGGCAGGCTGCGGCGTCGGCATGAGGCGGGGACACGAAGGGCGCCATCGGTTTTGTCTTTGTCCCCTGGAGCGAAGAGAGCGCACTCTGTCTCCTCCTCCTCCGCAGAGAACGATAAATACTGTACAAAAAGTCTCAAGAAAACCCCCAAGTTCCATCCGAACGCAGGCCCCGCGCGGCGCCCCGGGAGCCGCGGGGCAGGCGCGCGCTGTGCCAGGAGCGCGGAGGCGGCGGGACGTGGCCAGGCCGCCCCGCGGGCGCTAGATGTGCGTCAGGGGCACCGTGCCGTTGACGCCCGCGCCCGCGCCCTGGTAGTGCTGCGGCAGCGAGTGCAGCCGGCTCTGCGCCGCGGCCGCCGGGTCGCCGCCCTCGCCGGCCGGCAAGTACATGCTGATCATCTCTCGCAGGTCCCCAGGGCACGGCGCCCGCGAGTGCGCCGGGGCCGGCGGGCTGCCGCTCGGCTCTGACTTGACGAGCGAGCCGAGCGCTCCCAGGGCGCCCGACGACGCGGCCGCCGCCGCCGCCGCCGCCGCCGCCACGGCCGAGGTCTGGTGCGCGCCGCCCGCGGCGCCGTAGGGGAGGCCGCCGTAGCCCGAGGGCGACGCGCTCACGTAGCCCTGCGAGTTGGAGATGGGGCTGTACTGCAGCGCGCCCATGTCGTAGCGGTGCATGGGCTGCGGGTTGTGCGGGTGCGCGTGCGGGTGGTGCGGGTGCGGGTGCGCGGGGTGCGCGTGCGGGTGCGCGCCGCCCGCGCCCGGGTGCTGCCCGTAGGCCAGCTGCGCTTCTTGCATCATGGCCGCGGCCGCGGCGGCCGCCGCCACCGAGCCCGGGTAAGCGCCGTTGGCCCAGCCGTTGACGTGCGCGTAGCCGCCGCCCGCCGCGCCGCCCGGGCTCTCCAGGCGCTGGCCCACGGCCGCCGCGCCCACGCCCACGCCCATGGCCACGGCCGCGCCGCCGCCGCCCGCGCCGGCCGCCAGCAGCCCGCCGGCCAGCGAGTACTTGTCTTTCTTGAGCAGGGTCTTGGTCTTGCGGCGCGGCCGGTACTTGTAATCCGGGTGCTCTTTCATGTGCAGCGCGCGCAGACGCTTGGCCTCGTCGATGAAGGGCCGCTTCTCGGCCTCGGACATGACCTTCCACTCGGCGCCCAGCCGCTTGCTGATCTCCGAGTTGTGCATCTTGGGGTTCTCCTGGGCCATCTTGCGCCGCTGTCCGCGGGACCACACCATGAAGGCGTTCATGGGCCGCTTGACCCGGTCCTGGCTGGCCTTGGCGCCCCCGCCGCCGCCGCCGCCGCCCCCGCCGCCGCCACCGCCCGCCCCGGCCGGGCCCGACAGGTTCGTGGGCGCCGGGGCGCCGCCGGGCGAGTGCAGGTCGGTCTCCATCATCATGCTGTACATCGGGGCGGCTCTTGGTTCACCGGCACCGAGCGCAGAAGGCCTGGAGCATGGACAGCCCGGGCGGGGGACGGTCGGAGCGGGGCTCAAACGGGCGGCGGGGGGTGCCTGGCAGAGAGAAGAATGAGGGGGGAGGGGAGGCGACAGCGGAGAAGAGGCAGGAACACGCACTCAGCGCCGGTCCGGCCCGCAGGTGCACAGTTTCGCCAGCGCACGAGCCGCTCGCCCAGGAGGCAGACGGCCAAGGGTCTCCGTAGTCGCCGCCGCGGCGTGGTCGCCCTCGGCCGAGCGGTGCAAACAGGTGCAGTCGTGGCCAAGTTGCGGCGCCACTTTGTGGGCCGGGAGCAGGGTGCGGGGCCCGGCCCGTGGCTTCGTTGCCTCCTCCTCCTCGCTCGCCGGCCGCCGCCGTGCGCCCGCTGCCTCCTTGCTCTGGCGCTCGGTCCTCGGCGGCCTTCAACTCCGGGGCCGCAACTTGTAGCAGGGCGGCGCGCCGCGTGCGCTGGGCGTGCGCGGGTCCCAGGTGCCGCGGGGGGGAGCGGAGGGGGGCCGCGCAGGGGGGCCGGGGGCAGCAGCGCGGGCGCGCCGAGGGCACCAGAGAGCCGGGGCCGACGAGCCCGGGACGGGCTGCCCGCTGCCTGCCCGGGGCGGTGCGCTCGGAGCGGAGGCGCACGCGGGGCCGGCGGCGTGCGGGGCCCAGCAGCCATACGCCGGGCCCGGGCTGCCGTTAAATGAGCGCGCCGCGGCCAATGGGAGCCGGCGGCGGCGGTGATTTGCATGGCGCGCTGGCGAGTGACGTGGGGAGGGAGTAGATGCACCGGGCGCGGGCGGCGGAGCGGGGCGGAGGGAAGGAAGGAGGGGGAAGGAGGCCCGGGAGGGGGTCGCGGCCGCTCGGCTTCCTGCGTGCGCGCGCCGCGGCGAACCCGGAGCTCGCCCTCCTCGCCGCTCCCCGCCCGCGCGCTCCGAATGATTAACGACTGGCTTGAAAAGCGAAGACGAAGAAAGAATCGGGGGTGGCGGTGGGGGTGGGGTGAGGACTACAGCCCCGGGCCGGGCTTAAATGCGCGCCACGGGGACCCAGCAGCTCCTCCTCCTCCTCCTCCTCCTCCTCCGACCCCCGCCCGCCAGCTCTGCTCTGGCAGGGGAAGGCGAGTTAGGGACGGAGCCGGCACCTTGGCCTCGGCTCGGCCCGGGTGCCGAGGAGGGGACCGAGCGGGGCGGGTCAAGGGGGGGCTTGAAGCGCGGGTTGTGCGGAGGCCCTGCGGCGCGTCCCCAACCCCCACCCCGCCCCTGTCTTCCCAGCTGTGGGTGCTCAGCCCAGGCCCCACCACCCAGGGCCCGGGGCGCGCAGGTAGGGGGCCTGGCTCCGCACTCGCCTTGGCCGCAGTCCTGACCTTGCTTCAGGGGGTGGTCGGTGTAGCAGCCTCGGGGAGCCTGGGACTCCCGGGAGACTGCAGGAGGCTGCAAGCCAGCGCCTCTGGAACGCAGCTACTCCGACAGTGGCCAAAGTTTTCGGAGGTCGCCAGAGAAGGGTGTAGCCCACGCTTTTCCGGAGCGGGTCTTCCCCGCGCCGTTTGCCCCCGGGGCCCATCAGAACCGAACCGAACTGAACCGTGGGGCCTGGCCTCGGGCGACAGAGGCCGTGCCATGCGCCGCGCAAACTCGAGGCCCCCGGCTCGGACCTTGGCGTGTTTGCGACCCGGGACGCCTACGGGCGCAGGCTTCGGTCTCCATCAGAACAAACCCGAGCGGCCCACAGACCTCCCTCTAAGACCACCGCGCGCCCAGCGCTTTGGTCCCCGGCAGCGGAGAGCTTGCTGAGCGAGGGCTGCAGGCCTGACCTGGAGCTACAGAGAGTCTCACGTGACGATGAGGATGGCGGTGATGAGCCGGGCAGCCAACTTGGGGCTCCTCGCTTTTACTCTGGCTTTTAACAAAATCCCGAGCGGCGAATCCCCTGGCCTTACTGCCGGCCGCAGGCGCAGGACCACCGCTGTCCGCGCGCGGGACCGGGATGGCTGCTTCGTCCCAGCGAAGGGACTTCTGCGGATGGAACTGCTTCCATTTCAGGGCGTTCAGCGCGGAGCAGTAAACTCATCACAAAATATGTAATTATGTTGGGAAAGAAACATAGTTTCATATTTATTTTTCACTAAATATCTAGGTTGTAAACTCGATTTTCAGCTACCTTCTTATTTCGCCAATCGAGTTTGTTAAGTCTTTGTTTCCTGCACTACCTGCAAATATCAGTTGCATTGTGAATGAACAAAAAAGGTGCAGGAGTATTGTTTAAGAATGCTATAGACCCATTTTTCTTCTGATAATTTAGGAGGCGATGGGTGTGCGGTGGGATCCAGTGTGTTAGCGAAAGTCAGCAAGACTGATATAAAGAAAATGGTTTACAAATTATAAAGTATATTATCCACTTAGCAATTGAAAGATTTCTTTCCTCTGCTTTTCAATTTAGATTTTAAACTAAATAGGCCGAGACCCCCTGAAAATGCTTTGTATGAACCAGGCCTGGCACATTATTTTCCATATCAATGGAGCAATTTATTGTATAAACACCCTGCACTCCGGAGCGCTTTGCAGGAATGCTTTATGCTGTTCGGGAGTTGGAGGGCTGACTTTGAAATGGTCTTGTTTCTTTCTGCCATAGTCCTGAAAATTGTTTCCAAATACGCGGTTACCGGTGCTTCCCAGATCATCTGAACAGGAGGGCAGCGCGCGGCTTCCTGCCTGATCATCTGGTTATTAAGGAGCCCAGCTTAGAGACGCACGCTGGGGGTGCCCGCCCGCGGAAGGAGCCGGCCAGAGCCTCGGGTGTAACCTGTTGCCAGGCGATGGTTGATTGGCAGCCACAGCCCCTGCCAGGGAGGCAGCGGGCAGAGCGCCGTGCCAGGCCTCTGGGTGCCTTCTAGGCTGGCCCGGGGGCTGCGGCGTGCACACCAACTCCTGCCACCGACCGCGAACGGAGCCTGGATTTCTTGTGGGCTCTCTTTAAAGGAGAAGGCAAAGACATCTCCTCCCTCCGCACCCCGGTGGGCAGGGGCCCCCTTGGAGCCCAGCACCTTTCTTCCCAGAGGCCAGACTTGGACTTGGAGACTGCCTGAGCCGTTTCCAAGTGGTGTCAGACCCAGTCCGCCCCCCCCACCCCCGCCCGGCAGGGGTGGGTTTCGGTGCTGATGGAGAGCTTCCCTGTGCCTCTGCTCTTAGAGACGCGGATAAAGATGCCTTCGTTCTCTGATTTAAGCTGCGATCAGGAGCCTGAAAGAACTCAGACCCAAGCCATCATCCAGGAAGCTGTACACATGTACACGCACACGCACATGTATGTGCTGTGTTTAAGCAACAGAACCAGAACCAACAGCACTGACTCAGATTGCTGCTAGGGGTGGGTAACAAATTCAAGCTTCCTCCCCGTCCGCGGTTGCGCCCCCAAACCTGGGAAGCAGAGGGGATCCCGGTGTGTGGAGTCCCTTGCCCCTAACAACCTTGACACGAAAGCTTTGGGGCACCTACGACTGCCTCCTGCTGCCGGCAATGGTGGACAGAGTTGCGGTCCAAGGACACAGCCTTGGGGACAGTCTCCCAGAGGGATGTGCCCCTCGCCCCACTCCCACGGCTCCTGGGCCTCCTTGGAGGGCTAAGGCCACCTGTGGGGGACTTCCTAGGGGGCGCAGGCCGGTCCCCCAAAGAACTGTGGCCGCAGTTCCAGGATGACAGATCTCTAGGGGCCCTCTGCTTCCCAGACAGGACTTTCATGAGCGAATAGAGGGGGCCTGTGGGGGAGGAGGACCGGGCAGAGCTTGAGCGCAAAGGCGTAAACGCACAGCTGAGCCAACGGGAGAAGAGGGCGCGCGGAGCGGGGACCGCGGCGACCGTGCCGGGGAGCAGCCGGGCTGCGGTGCTGCGGTCAGAGCCGCGGCGCGGGTCGCGATCGCCGTCTGCTGGCGGCCGCCGCCCTCGCGGCCCCTCGCGGCCCCTCGCGGAGACACCTGCCCCCAGTCCTGCCTCGTGCGGCCACACATCCCGCTCGAGGGCTCGGCCCGGGGGTTGCGGCCAGGGGGCTCCTCGGGGGCGGCTCGTCTCTCTTGCGAGAGCGCTCCCGTCTCAGCGCCCTGGCCCTGAACCAGCTGGGTCCTGCGTTTCCCAAATGCACTCCCATGAGCCCAAGTGGCACAGGCGTTAGTTGGAGGGTGCGAGGAGCTGTTTCCATCTGGGGGCGTCGGGGTGGGCGGGTGGGAGGATGGCGCGCGGTTGTGGCCCCCGGAGCGTGCTCCGCGTCGTAGGGGATGCTCCCGTGGACCCCTGGCTGCGCGCAGCCTGCAGGCCTCTCCTGGCGCGGAGACCAAGGCCGGCTCTGGGGCTGCTGTGGTGGCGCCTGCGGCACGAGGGCGGGTCAAGTCCTTCCTTGTCCCCCGAAAGCAGCCAAGGCTTCGTGGGCAGCGCCGCGCGTGCACACCGGAGGCTCCCACAGCGTGCTGTGCGTGTGTATGTGTGCGCGCGTGTCGTGTGCCTCCCAGCCCCGCGGGCAAAAGCGCTTGGAGAACCTCGGAGCTTCGAGTAGGGGCTCGCCCTGTGAGCGGTACTCACACATATAATTCAAATTTCACAGCTGACCTGTTCTGAAAACCTCAATCAGCTGCTAATTGAAGGGAAAACAAAATATTGCTTCGCCACAGCAGCGCTAACGATTTAATCATTATATCAGACATTATAGCTTTTAATTAGGCTAATGCTGATACTGTATGGAAAGAGATAATTCAACACAGTTCTTGATGAATTCTGTAATTGGGTTAACGGCGGAGCAGTCTATCCAGGCTGCGTCTGCAGCCCCCAGGTTTATGAATGAAAGAGAAGACAAGGGGAGGAGAACGCCGGGACGCGAGGGGTGCCTCGCCCTCCGCCCCACTGCGCCGTGGGCGCTCTGGGGCGCCGCGGCGGGAGACGGAGCGAGCAGGGCTGGGCGGTCGCCGGGCCCCGTCGCCGCGCGCCGGCTCTTCCTGCCG